GGAAGCACTGCCACCAAACAACAGAGATAGCCTATCCTTTGCTGCTTTATAGCCTGGCATCAACTTTTCCTCCTTACTGATGTAACTTCGGTCTGGCTTCCTCTTCCAGTACAGTCCTGACTCATCCACATTAAAAACCTGCTCGGGTAAATACATACCTTTATCGATAATTTCTCGAAACATTTCAGGAAACTCCCAGGCAGCTACTGTTATCTGCACTCATTGCCTCGCCACTTACTTTTATGTTGTGAAGGTTGGCTCTAGCCTTGAACTGATGAAACCAGCCATGGCTGGCAATAAAAGATGCGCCCTTGGATTCTTCGCCGTGTTTCTTCTTCAAGTCTTCATAAAGGCTTTTAGCTTTCTCTTAAATCAGCATTAAGTTGAGTGGGACTCGACGCAGATGCTGATCCTGCATCCACACACTGAGAAGTTTCTCCATCTCCTCCATCACTTTTCCACACTTCTTTGATACTATTGTTGACATCATTGGCACAGGAGACTTCACATGTTACATGATCTTGTCCGTGTTCTCCAAAATCATGCTGATGGTTGAAAGATTCATGTTATAAGAACGAGTGACATCTACCATTGTTTTGCCTCACTCCACTCTCTCAAGTTATTTTCACTTTTGTTTCCATTGTTATCACTTGGCACTTCTTAGCAGTACCAGCTACATCACCACTGCTTTTATGCTTGCTTCCGGACATCCTGGGCTTAAAATAAAGATACTGTACTACTGTACTCTATACACTACTGTAAAGTACACAAAAACATAATCACTTGTAGAGGATGCATGCATGTGACAATGTACGCCAGACATGTGAACTAACTTACATGACTGGACATGTGAACACACGTTTGCATCTCTGAAAGTTCACAACTTGAAGGTTTGTATGTAGGGGACTAACTGTATACGTGTGTGTGTGTGTGTGTGTGTGTGTGTGTGTGTATAAAAAACTGAATCACTTTGCTGTACACCAGAAACTAACACAACATTGTAAATTATACTTCAGTAAAAAAAAAAAAACATTTAAAAAAAATTGAAAGACACAAATAAATGGAAAGACATTGCATATTCATGGATTAGAAATATTAATATTGTTGAAATGTACATACTATTCATAGTGATCTACAGATTCAATGCAATTGTTATCAAAATCCCAGTGACAGGGACTTCTCTGGTGGTGCAGTGGCTAATAATCCGCCCGCCAATGCAAGGGACACGGGTTCGATCACTGGTCTGGGAAGATCCCACATGTTGCAGAGTGACAAGCCTGTGTGCCTCAACTACTGAGCCTGCACTCTAGAGCCCTTGCACCACAACTACTGAAGCCCGAGCACCTAGAGCCCATGCTCTGCAACAAGAGAAGCCACCACAATGAGAAGCCTGCACACCACAACAAAGAGTAGCCCCTGCTCGCCACGACTAGAGAAAGCCCGTGCGCAGCAAAGAAGACCCAACACAGCCAAAAAAAAAAAAAAAAAAAAAACCAATTACAAATTTTATGGAAATAAAAGAAGTCCTAAAATTCATATGGAACCACAAGAGACCCCAAATCAACAGAGCAATCTTGAGGAAGAAGAACAAAGTAGGATGTGTCACATATCCTGATTTCAAACTACAGTAATCAAAACAGTAAGGTACTAGCATAAAAATAAACAGACATATTGACCAATGGAATAGAATAGAGGGCCTAGAAATAAACCACACATTTATCATAAACTGATCTTAGACAAGGAGGGCAAGAATACACAATGGGGAAAAGATAGCCTTTTTAATAAATGGTGTTTGGAAAACTGGATATCCAGTACAAAAGAATGAAATTAGATGCTTCTCTTATACCCTATACAAAACCCAACTCAAAAGGAAGTAAAGACTTAAAAATAAGACATGAAACTCTAAAACTCCTAGAAGAAAACAGAAAAATCTTGACCCTGGCCTTGGCAATAATTTCTTAGATATGCTGTGAAAAAGCACAAGCAACAAAAGCAAAAACAGACAAGTGTCATTACATCAATTCAAACCAATATGCACAGCAAAAGAAACAATCAGCAAAGTTAAAAAGCAACCTACAGAATGGGAGAAAGTATTTTCAAATCATATATCTAATGAAGGGTTAATATCTAAAATATATAAGGGATTCCTGAAACTCAAAAGCAAAAAAAAAAAAAAAAAAGATGTGTTGGTAAGGATGTGGAAAAATTTTAACCCTTGTACACTGTTGGTGGAAATGTAAATTTGTACAACCACAATGGAAAACAGTTGGAAGATCATTAAAAAATCAAAAATAGAACCCACATAATCCAGCAATCCCAATTCTGGCTATATATCTAAAAGAACTGGAATCAGAATCTGGAAGAAATATCTGCATTCCCATGTTTACTGCACCATTGTTCACAATAGCAAAGACATGGAAACAACCTAAATGTCTATTGACAGATGAATGGATAAAAAGAAAATGTGGTGTACAAATACAACAAGGTATTACCCAGCCTTAAAAACGAATAAAATCTTGTCATTTGCTACAACGTAGGTGAACTTGGAAGACATGCTAAATGAAATAAACCAGAAACAGAAGAACAAATACTACATGACCCACATATATCATGAATCTAAAATAGTCAAACTCATAGAAGCAGAGAATAGAATCGTGTTTACCAGGGGCTAGGAGGAAGGGTAATTGAGGAGGTGTTCATCAAAGGGTATATAGTTTCGCTTATACAAGATGAGTAAGTCCTACAGATCTATTGTACAGCAGAGTATATATAGTTAACAATACTGTATTGGATACTTAAAAATTTGTTAAAAGGATAGATCTTATGTTAAATATTCTTATCAAAAGAAAAAATGGAGGGAGGAAATTCCTGGAGGTGATGGTTAAGTTTAGGGCATTGTACTGGTGATGGTTTCATGTTGTATATTTATCTTCAAACCCACCAAGATGCATACATTAAATATGTACAGCTTTTTTTGTATGTCAAACATACTTCAATTGAAGAAAAACTTAACCAAGGAAGTGAAGGACTTGTACATTGAAAATCACAAAACATTGCTCAAAGAAATTAAAGACAACACAAATAAACTCAAAGATGTGCCATGTTCATGGACTAGAAGACAATATTATTAAAATGTCCACACTATCCAAAGTGGTCTACAGATTTAATGCAATTCGTATCAAAATCCCAATGTTATTTTTTGTAGAAATAGAAAAACAATCCTAAAATTCATAAGGAACCAGAAGAGACCCCCAAATAGCCAGAGCAATCTTGAGAAGTAAGAACAAAACTGGGGAGGCCTCACACTTCTTAATTTCAAAATATATTACAAATCTACAATAATCAAAACAGTATGATACTGGCATAAAGACAGACATGTAGACTAATGGAACAGAATAGAGAGCCCAGAAATAAACCCACACATATACAGTCAACTGATTAATAAGCGGGGCAAGAATACACAATGGGGAAAGGATAGTCCCTTCAACCAATGGCGTTGGGAAAGTTGATATCCACATGCAAAAGTATAAAATTGGCCTCTTATTTATATCATACACGAAAATCAACTCAAAGTGGATTAAAGATTTAAACATAAGACCTGAAACTCTAAAACTTCCAGAAGACAATATAGGGGAAAATCCTCATGACACTGGCCTTGGCAATGATTTCTTAGGTATTACAGCAGAAACACAGGCAACAAAAGCAAAAATAAAGTGGGACTACATCACTAAAACACTTCTGCACAGCAAAGGAAACAGTCAGTAAAGTGAAAAGGCAACCTACGGAATGGGAGAAATATTTGGAAACCATATATCTGATTAGAGGTTAATATCTAAAATATATAAGGAATTACCACAACTCACAGCAAAAGACAACTTGAAAAAAATGGGCAAAAGACCTAAATAGGCATTTCTTCAAAGAACACATTCAGAAAATAAATGTTGATGAGAATGTGGATAAATTGGAACCCTTGTGCACTTTTGGTATGAATGGAAAATGGTGCAGTTCCTACAGAGAACAGTATGGAGGTTCCTCAAAAAATTAAAAATAGAACTACCATATGATCCAAGAATCCCAGTTCTGGTTACTTATCCAAATAATTAAAATCAGAATCTTGAAGAGATATCAGAACTCACATGTTTACTGCAGCACTATTCACAACAGCCAAGAGGTGGAAGCAACCTAAATGTCCACCACAGATGAATGAATAAAAAAGTGTGGTATATACATACAGTGGAATATGATTTAGCTAGAAAAAAGGAAGGAAATCTTGTCATATGCTACAACATGGATGAAATTCGAGGGCACTATGCTAAGTGAAATAAGCCAGTCACAGAAGAACAAACACTGCAAAATTTCACTTATATATGGTATCTACAGTAGTCAAAGTCATTGAAGCAGAAAGTAGAATGGTAGTTTCCAGGGCCTGGGAGGATCAGGAAATAGGGAGTTGCTGTTCAGTGGGTATAAATTTCAGTCATGCAAGATGAAAAGTTCTAGAGATCTGTACAACACTGTGCCTACAGTTTACAATACTGTAATGTACACTTGAAATTTTGTTAAAGGTAGATCTCAGGTTATGTGCATTTTATTGCACTGGAGGAGAAAAAAAGAGACACATTGGCTAGCATAAGTTATATGCTCTATAGCTTAAAAAAAACTTGAGAAAAATTCAGACAGGAGCAGCAAAAGCAAAGAGCTAGAAAACAGAGCCTGCTTAAATGACTTACCATTGAAACATATGAGTAAATATATTAAACATTGCAATAAGCAGTAGACTCTTTATGTCTCAAAGCCTTTGAAGCTGGATGTTCACATATTTAGCATTTAACCACACTCATATCTTAAAGGCAAGGGCATAGAATAACTGACTTGTGATTCACTTAAGTAATTTCAGGTGATGCAGAGTTTTGGCTCTGAAATACTCATTATGAAAGCATCACCAAATTAAATAACCAGAGAAAGGGAGAGGTATGTGAAAAATACTGCAAGTTTCTCACCAAGTAGGAAAGATCCATACTAAGATTATTCCCTTTGATATGAACATTTTTTAAAAAATCAAGAGGACTTCTGGTCAAGGTGGCTCGGTCACTTCTTGCTTGGATGCATCTTCTCTGTTCCAAAAATATACACACATACATGCATACATACATACATACACATGGGTATGTATGTATGTATATGTCCACAACATATATATATATATATATATATATATGTATATATTCATATATACAAAGATACACACAAAGATACAGCTAGGCCCAAAAACAAGATAAATATTTCTGTGAAAGAGAAAAACAGAAACTCCAAGTGATAACAGGAGATGAAGCTCTTCCTGGTATCCCTCTGCAACAAACAGTGTTGTTTTGTATTTTTTGAACTTTATATATATGGTATTATACTGTATGCATTTTCTGCAGCTACCTGTTTAAATTTTTTAAAAATACTTCATTTTTTAGAACAGTTTTAGAATTATAGAAAAACTGAGTAGTACAAAGAGTTCCCATACACCCCACACCCAATATCTCCTATAATTAACATCTTACATTACTATGGTACGTTTCTTTAAATAAATTAATTAATATTGATACATTATTATTAACTAAATTCCATAGTTTATTTAGATTTCCTTAGTTTTTCCCTAATGTCCTTTTTCTGTTCCAGGATCCCATCCAGGATATCATAGTACATTTAGTTTTCATATGTCTTTAGTCTCCTTTTGGCTGTGGCAGTTTCTCAGGCTTTTCTTGTTTTTAAAGATCTTGACATTTTTGAGGAGTACTGGTTGGGTATTTTGTAGGATGCTCCACTACTTGAATTTTTTTTTAATTTATTTTTTGGCTGTGCTGTGTCTTCATTGCTGCACGTGGGCTTTCTCTAGTTGTGGTGAGGGGGAGGCTATTCTTCGTTGTGGTGCATGGGCTTCTCATTGTGGCGGCTTCTCTCGTTGCAAAGCAGAGGCTCTATGCATGCGGGCTTCAGTAGTTGCAGCACTTAGGCTCAGTAGTTGTGGCACGCAGGCCCTAGAGCATGCAGGCTTCAGTAGTTGCAGCACATGGGCTCAGTAGTTGTGGCGCATGAGCTCTACAGAGCGCGGGCTTCAGTAGTTGTGGCATGTGGGCTCAGTGGTTGCAGCTTGCGGGCTCTAGAGCGTGGGCTCAGTAGTTGTGGCGCACGGGCTTAGTTGCTCCGCGGTACGTGGGATCTTCCTGGACCAGGGATCAAATCAGTGTTCCCTGTATTGGCAGGTGGATTCTTAACTGCTGGACCACCAGGGAAGTCCCCACTACTAGAATTTTTCTGACGTTTTCCTATGGTTATATTGTGGTTATGGATTACTAGGAGGAAGACTACAGAGAAAAAGTACAATTTTTATCACATCATATCAAACACACATACTATCAACATGATTTATGATTGATCTTCGCTTCAATCACCTGAGGCAGTGTTTGCTGGGTTTCTACACTGCAACATTACTTTTTTTTTTCTTCTGTATTTCCATACTGTACTCTTTGCAAAGAAGTCACTAAGAGTAGCTCAAAACTAAGAAGTCAGGAGTTATGCTTCCCTTCCTTGAGGTGGAGCATCTACATAAACTATTTAGAATTCTTCTTCATGGGATATTTGTCTCCTCTCCCCCATTTATTGATTCATTCAGTCATTTTATTATCAGTATTGACTCATAGATATTCTATACTTTGGGTTATAATCCAATATTAATTTAGTTTGTTGTACATTCCCTGTTTTTGTTTGTTTGATAAACTATTTTTCTTCCAATTTTAAATGATTGTTCTTCCTGGATACAGAATTCTAGGTGGGTGTTTTTCCTTTCATCACTTTAAATATTTTACTCTACTCTCTTCTTGCTTGCATGGTTTCTGATGAGAAATCCAGTATAATTATTATCTTTGTTCTTCTATAGGTAGAGAGTTTTTCTCTGGCCATTTTCAAGATTTTCTCTTGGTCTTCACAGTTTTCTGTGTTTGAACATGATATGCTTAGGTGTATTTGTTTGGTATTTATCCTACTTTGTGTTCTTTGCTTGGATTCTGAATCTGTGGTCTGGTGTCTGTCATTAATTTTGGGAAATTCTCAGCCATTCTTACTTCAAATATTTCTTCTGCTCCTTTCTTCTTCTGCTATTCCAATAATGTGTATGTTACACCTTTTGAAATTGTCCTTGGATATTCTGTTACTTTTTTTTTTTTTTTGTGGTATGTGGGCCTCTCACTGTTGTGGCCTCTCCCGTTGCAGAGCACAGGCTCCGGACGCGCAGGCTCAGCGGCCATGGCTCACGGGCCCAGCCGCTCCATGGCATGTGGGATCTTCCCGGACCGGGGCACGAACCCGTGTCCCCTGCATTGGCAGGCGGACTCTCAACCACTGTGCCAGCAGGGTAGCCCCTGTTACATTTTTAAAGTCTTTTTGTAATCTCTTCATTTCAGTTTGGGAGGATTCTATTGACGTAACTTCAAGCTTACTAATTCTTTCCTTGGCTGTATGCAGTCTGCTCATGAGCCTATCAAAGGCATTATTTCTTTTTCTTTTTTTTGGCCATGCCGCATGGCTTGCGGGAATCTCAGTTCACTGACCAGGGATTGAACCTGGGCCATGGCAATGAAAGCCCAGAATTCCAACCACTAGGCCACCAGGGAACTCCCAAAGGCATCATTTCTGTTATAGTGTTTTTGATTTCTTGCATCTTTCTAGAGTTTCTATCTCTCTGCTTACATTATCCATTTGTTCTTACATGTTGTATACTATTTCTAACAGACTCTTTATCATATTAATTATAGTTATTTTAAATTCCATATATATGATCATTCAAAAACCTACGTTGTATCTCAGTTTGGTTCTGATGCTTCTTGTTTCGTCTCTTGAGACTGTGGTTTTTCTTTTAGCATGCCTTATCATTTCTTTTTTGCTGAAAACCAGACACAATGCATAACATAATAGAAACTGAGATAAACAAGTCATTAATGTGAGGTTTTATGTTAATCTGGCTAGAAGCTGGGCTGTGTTTAATGTTTACTCTAGCTGTAGGTGTCAGAGGTTTTTCAATTTCCTCTAACGTCCTTGTTTTTGTCTCCCTTGTTTTCTTTGGGTTTCCCTAAAAACGTCTTAGAGTCTGAGTCTTGCAGGTCTTTCGACTGTAATCCACAGTTAACGTACTGAAGCCCTGCTGATGTGGTAGTAAGGTGTGGGGTATGGGAAAACATTCTGCAATCCTATAATTAAGTTTCAGTCTTTTATTGTGCCCATGTACCCAGCCTGTAACCTTCACAAGTATTTCACAGCTTTTATTCTCTTTCTCTTAGATGAGACAGTAAGGCTAGAGGAGCCTGGAGTTGGATAATTTCCCTTCTCCCACACTAGAGAAGGCTTTGGTAAAGTTGTTTTACTTGCTGGATATCTCTTTGTTAAGTAGAAGATCTGGTTGTATTTCAAGTTGATTACTTTTCCTGTCACCATGCCAGAAGCAGGAGACTTTTTCTTGGCTCTTCACACTGAGAACCCAGTGGAGTTCCTGAAGGTAAAAGTCATGAAAATGTGGGGACCCCCATAGACTGTGGCCCCCAGGTGTTTGTTACTCAAACACTAATCTACACTCTGCTTCCTGCAATTTGTCAAAGTTACCACTTAAGTGTTCCTACCAGTTTATGGCTCTAGTGCTTTCTGCTCCTGATAAGCAGATCTGGGCTGTCACTCTTTGTAATTGCCTGTCTCTCCAGATTTCAGGATTGCAGTTTGCTCTCTTATGTCAAATCCCCAATGGGTCCAAGAAAAGTCATTGATTTTTAGTTTGTTCAGCTGTTCTTCCTGTTCTAAGAGAGCAGTGATGACTTCTAAGCACTTTACATGTTGGCACTGAAACCCAAAGTCTGCAACAAACTTTTTTGATTCAATATTATTTGAGTTTCATCCATGTTGATACCTGTAGTTCTATTTCATTCATTTTTTCTTCTGTATAGTATTCTATTTTATGAATATACCATGCTTTATCCATTCTCCCGCTTATGAACATGTATGTTGTTCATAAACAATGCTACTATGAGCATCCTTATAACATCTAATGTGCGTGTGTAAGAGTTCCCCTAGGATAGATACCAAGAAGTGGGATTACTGACTTACAGTGTATGAGCATCTTTCATTTTACTAGATATTGCCACAATGTTCTTGAAAGTGGCTGTACTCATTTGTATTCACCCAGCGGTATATTAAGAGTTCTTACTGTTCCATACGTTCACCAATACTTGGCACAGTCAGGCCTTTAAATGTATGCCAACATCCTGGGTGTTAAATGGTATCTCATTGTAGTTTATTTTGCATTTCTTTGATTACTAATGAGACTTTATAAGTTAATTGTCCATTCATGTTTTCTCCCCTGTGAATTGCCTGTTCATATTTTCTGGCCATTTTTATTGGGTTGTTTCTCTTTTTCTTATTGATTTGTAGGGAAAGATTTCCTTAAAATGTCTCAAAAAGCACAAACCATCAAATAAAATACTGATGATTTAATTACGTTACAATGAAAGACTTCTGCTTAACAAAAGAAATCAGAAACAATGTTAAAAATATAAGCTACTCACCAGGTGCAGCAAGGGTTTGTATCCAGAATTTTAAAATAAAATCTATAAATAATATCAAAAACTAAATAATCAAAATCTATAAATAATATTAAAAACTAAATAATCAAATAATGGGCAAAGAAACAGAACAGGCAATTCATAGAAGGTTCCTGAAAGACTAATGAATGTATAAATACATGCAGAACTTCATTGGAAATCAGGAACATGCAAATTAAAACCATGAGATACCTTTCAAACACATTAGACTGGCAAAAATAAAAAGTCAAAAACTTTAAAGTCTTAGCAAAGATGTAAAAGAGATTTCTTAAACCCTGCTCATGGAAGTGAAGATACACATACCCTATATCACAGGAATTCCACTCCTAGATATGTAATACAGAACAGTGATTCTTAAAATGTCACTCTCAGACCAGCAACATCATCAGTATCTCCTGGGAAACTGGAAATGCAAATTCTCAGGCCCTACTCCAGATGTATAGAACAAAAAATTCTGAGGGCGGAACCCAGCAATCTGTGTTTTAACAAGTCTTCCAGGTGATTCCGCTGCACACTAACATTTGAGAATCACTGCAATAGAGCAATATTTTTCTGGCCTTTTTGACTGAGATGTATAGGAAGAAATGCATTTTATATTCTGGCCCACATACATATCACACACACACATATAAAACAAAAGCTTCAAGAAACAATAATCATCCTTACTACTCTATGGAATGCACTTTGATGTTTTCTATTCTATTTCATTTCTTTAAAAAATTGCTGGTTGTGACCTACTAATAGTAAATTAAAATTTGAAAACCTGTCCTAGAGAAACTCCTGTACATATGCAACAGGAGATATGTACAATAATGTTTGCTGCAGAACTGTCTATAACAGAAAAAAATGAAAAGAAAAAATCTTCAGGAGAATGGATAAATGAATTATAGTATCTTTCTACAACGGAACGCTACATAGTTCCTTATATCTTTAGAAATAAATTTCAAAAACATGTATATTGAGTCAAAAAAGCAAGTTGTAGAAGGGTATGTACAGTATGATATCATCTATATATTTAAAAAATATGTAAAACTATATGTTGTTTATGAATATATAGATATATAGTAAAAATATAAAAACACGGATGGGAACAATAAATAGCAAATACAGGATCGTGGTTACCACTGGAAAGGAGAAAGAGGAATGGGATTGGGGAGGGATACACGAAAGTCTTCAGGCGTCTCCATAAGGCCTTATTTTTTTTTAATTAGGCATATATGGAAACTGTTAAGAATTGATAGAGAATTCCCTGGCGATCCAGTGGTTAGGACTCTGCGCTCTCATTGCCAAGGGCCTGGGTTCAATCCCTGGTCAGGGGAACTAAAATCCCACAAGCTGCGTGGCATGGCCAAGAAAAAAAAAGGCAAGAATTGATAAAGATGGCTGGCTTGGTACAAAGGTTTTTGCTATATTATTCTCTGTAACTTTTTATAATGAGTAATATTTCATAATAAAAAATAAATAAAAATCAAGCTACCCTTGAACATCAAGAATATATTAGAAATGCAATCATTCAAAGGAAACTGCTTTAATATTCCTTACTTACGATGCTTTGTAAAAATTCAGGGACAGCCAGAAGCTAACATTATTTTTTTAGTTTTGTTTTTTAAATTAGACACAATCAAGTATATACTCCAGGGGCTTGTGTTGCTTCTTTGAGTGACATGATAATGAAATTTTCAATTCTGTATGTAACACATACCATGAATGTGAAATAATGATATGATCAACAAAACAAGGATTATTTACAACTTTTCTTAGATATTTGCCAATTCCTCAAGGCTTAGAGGCCCTGTGCTTTCACTTTGCTGCTTAGCTATCAGCAACTTAAGTCATATGTCATATAAAAGCCAGGTGGAGCATTCTGAAGAGAAAACTCATGTGGTAATAGTAAACCCTACTCACAACCAGGCACCATGGCTACCAGATATGGTGGTACTATGAATACTACTTGATTTATTAGTAGCCTAGGAAATTAGAGGTCACTTTTTTTCAGTTGAGGGTTTCTAGTGGGTATGGACTAGAGTCCATCAAGAGTCTGATCAAGATTTCTTTAAAAGTCTAAGAGTAGCTTAAGACCTTAGAAAACCACAAAGAACATCATAAGGAAATATGTTACTTATACAGTCAGAGCTACTTATATAGCAGAGAATGAATAGTCAAGGTTAAGGAAAAACACAATCACTGTGCCTATGTCATGATTCTTTGGTATAATCAAAGCTAATATAAAAGTATTACTTTAGGTAGAAGTAAATTAAAAAAACCCATTTTTTTTTCTTGGTTTGGCCTATACCTTGTTTGGCTCCCCTGGATTATATGAAGAAAACATAGGAATTTTTCGGATCTCTTCCTCTGACAAACGATTTCTCTGGATCTCATCTTCTGGGACAAATTCTATTGGCTGCGTCAGCTTCTTAGGCCCCGTCCAACACTGCTCAGGTGAATTATCAATAACTTTTGCCACATGGAGACTGGGACCTTTACCCTGTGCTGCCTGTTTTCCCTTGTCCTGGAGTAATGACGGGTTCTCAGCTGTGCCACTATCTCCCACTGATGTAGCTGAGACCAGTGAGTGGGAAGCAAAGGGTTCACCTCTCATTAGTTGGAACTCTTCAAGACGTTTTTTCATTATCATCTCTTGGTAAAAATTTTCCAGGTTGTTCATGGGATCACCTTTGTTCTTCTTTTGGGATTCATCTGGATCAAGACAAAGAGATAGGGAAGTTCTACAAAGCCTACCAATACAACCTTTGACAAATTAATAAAAATTAAAATTTGAATCTCAGATAATGAAACTCTGCTGGGGCAGGTGTTTACAACCTGTGAAAAATGACAATAATATATAGCTATGTTATTACAGTGCATCTTGGGCAAGGCTGGGCTTATGGTAAGGCAAGTGAGGCACCTGGGGTACAAAATTTGAGGTGCTCACTCTCAGGGTCATGCAAGTACATGCATCTAACTGATAAAGACATTTGAAAAATGTTAGTATGGCATTATCACACTTCACAAAATTAATAATAATTCCTTAGCATTATCTACTACTGAGTTCATATTCAAATGGCCCTGATTTTCTCAAAGATATCTTTTTACACTTGGTTTAGGATCTAAACCAGCCATTGGCTGTTATATCTTTTAAGCCTCATTAAAAAAACAAACAAACAGTGCCCCTTCTTTCCCACCCCTCCAACCTGTTTCTTCCCCATCCCATTGATTTATAGAGAAACCACATCATTTGTTCATAGAACAAATGAATTTGACTGGCTGCTCCTCATATTATTTAACTTGTTCCTCAATCCCCTCTATTTCTTACAAACTGGCAGTTAAAACTAGAGCTATGCTTTCAATGTGGCCACTAGCCACATGAGTCTATTTAAATTAATTTTTAAAATGTCAGTTCCTCTGTTAAATTAGGAATATCAAATGCTCAACAAGCACATGTGGCTAGTGGATACCATAATGGGCAGAATAAAGACCATTTACATCATTGTAGAAAGGTGAATTGGATAGTGCTGATTTAGATTTGGGTTCAATATTTTTAGGCAAGAATCCTCCTTATATTATATAGATGTGTATTTCCTATTACATCATGTCATAAGGCACATAATGTTTAGTGGTCCCCTTTCTAGTGATGCTAAAATTGATCAGTGGATTCAGGTGGTATTAGTCTGATCTTTCCATTATGAAGTTTTCCCATTCACATTTCACCTAAGGGGTTTTGCATCTATTGATGACCATTGCCTAAATCCATTAATTTATTAAGAGTTGTAAAACGGGGCTCCCCTAATTCTATTATTTATTTTGTACTTATTATTTCTATTATTTCTTCTGTATTTATTATCTGGAATTCTATAATGGACTTACCGTCATCAACTATGTGGTTTCCCTACATACAGTTCATACAGCAAAAGCAGGATAAATGCTTGATTTGCTCCCCATTATTTACCAACTATAAAAGTAATGAGTTGGTACTTTTTTTTTTTTTTTTTGGCGGTATGTGGGCCTCTCATTGCTGTGGCCTCTCTCGCCGCAGAGCACAGGCTCCGGACGCGCAGGCCCAGCGGCCACGGCTCACGGGCCCAGCCGCTCCGCAGCACCCGGGATCCTCCCGGACCGGGGCACGAACCCGCGTGCGCCCCCTGCATCGGCAGGCGGACTCCCAACCACTGCGCCACCAGGGAAGCCCAAGTTGGTACTTTAAAAGTGTTAAAAATGATTATTTTTAGTATAATTGTGAGACCTGTATTTTCATATATTTGATGTGTTTCAATTAAATGTAGTCATTTTTTTTAGTAGTCAAATTATCCCACTCAGGACTAGTGAAAGTCCCTTAAAATTGGCTCCTGTATTGCTTTCCAGTTTTCTGGCACAGCAAGATGTCTTAAGCTCATCTTGCATATTTCTTGACTCAAAGCTGGAATATTTCTCTAAGGACCACTGGCTCCTGTTAGTGGGAAATAGTGTTTAGAAACCACAATACGTTGCTAGTTCTGTTCATAAATGTTGAGTTGTTGTTGCTTCTAGGCCTTTTCAGTGAACAAAGGTAGGAAAATTTTTACGAAAAATAAATCATAAATTCATACTGGTATTTCCACTTCAAATTTAAGATTACAAGGTTTTAACTCAAGCTCCTTGATTTTTGACTTGTATCTCTTTTCACATGTGCTTAAGATATTGGCTCCTAATGATATTAACAAAATTATTTATTAGCTTTTTCCTACAATATATAGAACTTTTAAGTGTCAGTAACAATACTAATATGGTTATCAACAATACTAATATGACTATCAACAACAAAACTACTTAATACAGTTTTATAATTCTTTGCAGTTACTTTTGACCTTAAAATATATCCCATTCGGAATATACAAATACTGTTTTGAAGTTATTTTAAATAATTATTTTCTCTATATGGTTATGCTACCAACTTTATTCATAGTTAGGCTCATTTGCTTCAGGCTGTTTACAAATGTTAAGGATTGATCTTTTTTCCCTTTTGATTAAATTTTTAAACTACACAAAACATTTACATGGGTCTAAAGTGAAAACTGTGTTATACAGTACCTTCACAGAAGTCTCACTTCCACCTCTGTCCCCTTCATCCCATTCCTTTCCTTCTCCATAAGTTATAATTTTATTAGGTTTTGGATTTATGGTTCCATTGTTTATTTTTTGAAATATAAGCAAATAGGCACAAACACACCACACATATTTATGTGTATGTGTGTGTGTGTGTGTGTGTGTGTGTGTGTGTGTGTGTATATATATATATATATATATATATATATATATAAAATTCATTACACCCCCTGTCCTACGTAAAAGGTAACTTACTTCACTTTCTACAATTTACTTTTTTGCACTTAGCAATATATCCTGGTGATAATTCCATATTAATGTATAGAGCTCTTCCCTTTCCTTCTTATAGCTGCATAGTACTTCATTGTGTGGATGTACAATAGTTTATTCAACTACTCCCTTACTGATGCACCTTGGTGTTGTTTCCAGTCTTTTCTGCTATTGTGAATAATGCCCTGACAAACAGCCTTCTGCATACAGGATTTTGTATTTTCTCAGTATATATTTGAAATAGATTCCAAGAAGTGGCACTGCTGAGATAAAAGGCAAATGTGTATGTAATTTTTCTATACATTGCTAAATTCCACTCTGTAGGAATTGTACTATTCTGCATTTCCACCAGCAAGGTATAAGAATATTTATGGAAGGATTTCTTAACACTCAAAAAGCATCAACCATTAAGGAATATATCGACAAATTCAACTACATTAAAATTAAAAGCTTCTGTTCATCAAAATATCCTAAACAGAAAAATCACGGAATGGAAAAAGATATTTGCTATACAAATAACTGATAAAGAACACAATCATTAGGAAAATGGGCAAAAGACAGAAAAAGGTGCCTCACAAAAGAGGAAATACACTGGCTAATAAATATATGCAAAAGTGCTCAATATTAGAATTCAGGGAAATACTAATTAAGAAGGGAATACCATATTGGCAAAAAATAAAAAAGAATACCAATACCACATGTCAGTGAGGCTGTAGAGCAAATGGAGCCCCCATACATTGCTGGTAGGAATGTGCAGCCACAGTGCAAATCACCATGACATTACCTACTAATGCTGAATATATGCTCATAATATGACCCATCAATTCCACTCCTACATATATACCCTAGAATAATTTGGGCATAGTGCACCAGAATACAATAATAAGAATATTTAGATCAGTACTATTTATAACAGGCCTGAAACTAGCAAAAATATAAGTATCCACCTAAGAAGAATCAATTATAAAATTGTAGTAAGTTTATATAATGAAATCCTATATTACAACAAAAGTGAACAAATTTTGGTTACATATGACCAAGTGGATGAATATACTAATGTATATACTCAAAAATATTTATTCGGTGACTATTATGATCCAGGTAGTATTCTAGGTTCTTGGGACACATTAATAAAACAAAGATCCCTATCTTCAAAGAACTAAGTAAATTATATGGTATGCTAGAAGGTTATGAGTGCTATGAAAAAGAAAAAGTACAGCAGCATAAGGGATAACTGGAAGGGCTAGAAGGTGGTGGTAGTGTTGGTTGCAATTTTACTGTTGGTCTGAGTAGGTCTCATTGAGAAGGTGACATTTGAGAGAAGCCTTACAGGAAGTGAAGTAATCTATCATCCTGATATTGGAGTGAGGGTTCCAAGGTGGGAGTATGCTTCAAAAAAATTTTAAAGTCTGAAATCAAAGTATTTCTCTGACCATAATGGAATCACATTAGAGATATACTACTAGAAGAAATCTGAGAAAATATAAATATCTGGAAATTAAACAACACACTTCTAAATAATCCATAGGTCAAAGAACTTCCATAGGAGATTTTAAAATACTCTGAACTAAATGAAAATGAAAACACAACATAATACTTACGGATACAGATAAAACAATGTACAGAGGAGCTTCTGGGAAGATGGTGGAAGAGTAAGATGCAGAGATCACTTTCCTCCCCACAGATACACCAGAAATACATCTACACGTGGAACAACTCCTACAGAACACCTACTGAACGCTGGCAGAAGACCTCAGACCTCCCAAAAGGCAAGAAACCCCCCACATACCTGGGTAGGGTAAAAGAGAAAAGAAAAAACAGACAAAAGGATAGGGCCGGGACCTGCACCAGTGGGAGGGAGCTGTGAAGGAGGAAAGGTTTCCACACACTAGGAAGCCCCTTCGCGGGCAGAGACTGCGGGTGGCGGAGCGGGGAAGCTTCGGAGCCACGGAGGAGAGTGCAGCCACAGGGGTGCGGAGGGCAAAGCGGAGAGATTCCCACACAGAGGATCGGTGCCGACCGGCACTCACCAGGCCGAGAGGCTTGTCTACTCACCCGCCGGGGCGGGCGGGGCTGGGAGCTGAGGCTCGGGAGAGGACTGGGGTTGGCGGAATGAACACAGCCTGAAGGGGCTGGTGCACCACGGCTAGCCGGGAGGGAGTCCAGGGAAAAGTCTGGACCTGCGAAGAGGCAAGAGACTTTTTCCGCCCTCTTTGTTTCCTGGTGCGCGAGGAGAAGGGATTAAGAGCGCTGCTTAAAGGAGCTCCAGAGACGGGCATGAGCCGTGGCTAACAGCGCGGACCCCAGAGACGGGCATGAGACGCTAACGCTGCTGGTGCCGCCACCAA